CCCAAATATTTCACCTTTTTCTCACCCTTAAAACCAGACTTTTTAATCAATATATAACAATCCTGAGAGGATATATTCTTGCTCAACGTTGTTGTTTTCTGTTTGTTTATTTTAAAACCTGCTAGAGCTCCAAACACATTTAATTTCCTCATCAAATATTATGTCTTATTTTTTGGGTCTTGCAGGAATATAACCAACTCATCAGCAAATGCCATCAATTTATAAACTTTTTTCTTGATACTTATACCCATTATTCTCTCATCTTGCCTAATATCTCTGTGCAAAACTTCCAACATCAAAATAAACAACAGAGGAGGCAAGGGGCATCCTTATCTCATACCTTTTTGAATTTTGCATGAATTAGTTAAATCACCATTAATAGCAATTTTTGCTTGCTGTGACCTATAAATAGCTACATGCCTCTGCGTTTCAACTTGCCTTTAGAGTAAAGGTGTGGAGGTGTTATTTTCAAGTGGGTTAGATCGAGAAATGAAGCCTCTACGATTCCACTGAAGACCTTGAGAGCCTGAAACATTTTCAAGGACACCATAACAGGTGTAGATTTTAAACAGACGGTTCCCATAATAAAATGGACTTATTTATATAAAGTACGTAAGGCATTGGGGGTTTGGCTGGGAAAATTATTGTTTAGGTTTATGAGTTTACCTGCATGCACAGCCAGTGAAGAAGAAAAAGCTCCATTATTAATGAATCTTAATCTCATAAGGATACATCTACATCTACATGGAGGGAAGCATTATATCTACATGTACACTACATCTAAATCTATAATGTAGATGTACATTAACAATTTAAATGAGCGATTAGAAGTGAAATCAAATTTGGGGATGACATCAAGCTAGCAGGAACAGACAACACTTTAGAACAGGGGTGTCAAACTCACAACATCATGTGATGTGTCGTGACGTATTGCAACTTCTTTTCCATTGCCGGCAATGGGGTGGGTGTGGTTTCGCTATGATGCATCCGGCCCATGGGCTGGCAGTTTGACACCCCTGCTTTAGAAGATAGATTCATGGTCCAGAAGAATCTTGACAGTCTTGGGCCCTATCCAACAAAATGCAGTTCCCCCTGAGAAAAGTAAGGATTTAAACTTAGGCAAGGAAAAAAAACAAATGCACTAGTATGGAAGAGGTGGTATCTGGCTCAACAACGGTAACTGTGACAGGGATCTAAAGTCCTGGGGGCAATCACTTAAATATGAGCCAACAATATGCTGCAGCTGCCAAAAAAGTCAATGCAATTCTAGGATGCATCAAAAGGGGGACAGTATCAATATGTGAAGTGTTAGTCCTGCTTTATGCTGCACTGGTAAGACTACACTTGGAATACTGCATCCAGTTTTGATCACCATGATATAAAAAAAGATACTGAGACTCTAGAAAGAGTGCAGAAAAGAACAACAAAGATGATTAGTGGACAGGAGACTAAAACACATGACAAGCAATTGCAGGAACTGGGTAGGCCTAACCCAACACAGAGAAGGACTAGGGATGACATAACAGGAGGCTTCCAATGGTCAACGTATTTTCCAAATCTCTAATGGTAAGATACGTAATAGATGAAAACTTATCAAAGAGAGATCCAGGCTAGAACTAAGGAGATGTTTCCTGACAGAGCAACTAGTGGAACAGTTGGTCTCCAGAAGTTGTGGGTGTTCCATCACTGCAGCTTTTCAGGAAGACATTGGACAGGCATTTGTTTAGGATAGTACAGGCTTTCCTGCTTGAGCAAGAGATTGGACTACACAACCTGAAGGGCCCTTTCAACTGTGTTACTCTGTATTCTGCTTTTGAATCGCTTGAGGAAGAAAACAGCATACCATGAGATTCATCATTTGGCCACTGGAGGGCGAATGCCAGAGGTGATTTATCATAGGAGAATGGGAAGGAAGTGACATCACTCGGGGGGTTTTCCGTCTAGGTCGCGGCGCTCTTGTCACTTTCTCACTCTGAGCTTCGCAGGAGGTTTAAATGGGTGCAGAAAAGTCTTGAAAGGAAGAGATCCAGAGGTGGGCGGGGTAAGTGGCAGGTGGTGGTGGGGGTCTTCGCGTGCAGGGGAGGGCAGAGGGTGCTCGCGCTAGAGAAAGAAGGGACAGATGCTAGGTCCCCTTGTAGGTTCAATCTTCTGAGTCCTGGGAGTGGGAGAGACCGGATCCCATGTTCCCCTGCCGCCCGTCTCCACGCAGGCGGCAGGCAGAGGGAAACAGGGCTCAGGATCCGCCACGTTGCCCCAGGAACAAATCCCCAGAGAGGAGGAAGGGTCCTGGGGGAATCCTTCCCGCCCCATATCCTGGAAAAGCTCCAAAGTCGGAGATGGGGAGAGCTTGGATGGCAAATCTCAAGCAGGAAATAAGAAAATAGCGGAACGGGAGGAACTGCAGAAGATTGTGCCTGATTCTCCTTATGAGCTGGAATAATGACACTAAAATGGGGTTGGATCCTCCGCAGTTCAATTTGTCTTAGGAGGTTAAGTGAACCAGCACATCACCATCCCCTGTGTTTTGGATGAATTCAGCCCCTGCACTTGCGTAGCCTGTTTGCGTTTAGGGTATGTTTGGGGAACCTACCTGTGTGTAATTGTGTGATTTAGCTCTTGAAAAGGAAATCCTGAAGAAAGGGAAGTAGAACATCCACAGCAGGTCATTTTAGGCATTTCATTTTTTAAAAAAAACCTGAGCTTTCATTGTTTGTTGACGTGTTAGAGTTTGGAAAGTTGTGTAAACCCTGCTTGTAGATAAATGCAGATCTAGTTGTTGTTGTTTTTTTATAAAGCAAGCCCTACTCTATGAAAAAAAAGAAATTGAAATTGATCCAAAATGCATTTTTTCAGTGTCCCAAGTCCTTGGTGGAAGTCAATCCCAAGGTTTGTACAAACACAGATTCATGCACAGGAACTACCTTCTCAGTGCCACTGTAATCCTGTACTAGCTCAGAAAAATACTTCTTTCCATTTTCTAATTAATCTCAGATACAGAAATTGGAAGCCATTTGTACACCCTCTTCTGGAGGCAGAAGAATTGGACAAAGATGGTTGAAAGACTTCCCTGACCTGTTGCTACCAGAATGGTACTATGAATACCAGTAGAAAGGTGGTTGGAGATCCACAAGATTCCCTGGATCCATTAGGAGTTGCGATACAGAACTGAGAAAGAATGAAAAGCCAATGTTTAGCAAGTGAGGAAATTGGAAAAGGCCCTTCTGGTGTTCAGCTTGGGAGCTGTGGAGAGATCTGGGCAAGAACTGAGCAGAAGATCCTGGA